GTTCACAGTGTTATGAGCTATGGATCACAGTTTATAGCTTAGCGGTACGAAGTTATAGCACGGTTCAAGTTAATAGCTACGGTTCGAACAGTTATGAGGCTACGGTCACAGTTTATAGCTACGTCACAGTTATGAGCTACGGTCACAGTTATTCGCGCAGTAACTATGATTGTAAGGGTACAGGTGTGGAGGGTTAACCTCTCCTGGCATTGTCGATGAGCGGAAGATCAATCTCTGGTAAAAAGATTCTCGTACGTGTGTTAACTTAGTTTGGGTTGTTGTCGGCTAAGTGGGCACGCTGAGTGTGTTTTGTTCTTGCGGCTCGGTACCCCACATATGTTTTGTATTCACATGTTCTATTAACCCGCGTTGACGTGCTGCCATGAGTACTATAGTTGTGTATTGAGGAGTGGCTTGCACGTGTATTAGTAGCGCGTTAGCAGTCGATTGACGTGCTTAACACTCTCTCCACTCTGCTGTAATGGAATCGATCCAGGAGCTTGCTGGTCCTGCTGAAGTCCAACACGGAAGAACGTGGCATACCTACGATCGTATTCTGCAACAAAAAGGCTCGATTTGTCACATGTCTGGCTAGAGAGAACGGCATTCCTAACGTCGCTCATGAACGGTCCACATGACGAGCATGTGCTGCCGGCTCCCTGAACGATAATCGACCTATTCCGCGTGAGCGCGAGAAGCCAGCGTTCCTGCGGATACTGTTGGTATGTCGGTCAGCGAGACAGTTCCTGTACGCTTTTAAACTGCGTGCCCAAACGTGCATGCTGGCCTTGCCCGCACTGTCGTTACAAAGCAGTTGTTTTTAGATATGCCTTTTACAATTCTGATTGCCTAGATCTGACGGATGTCATGCACTGCCGGTGGATGGATTAACTATGACAGAAATACTCGATAACTAAATTTCTCGAAAAGACATTTCCTTGGTTTATTAGCTAAGGAGAATGGTGGGCGACACAGTGAAGTTCGTAATTTACATCGACGAGCAGTTTATAAAGGGCTTGAGCTACAGAGTAGGCGGTTACATCTAACCTCACGATAGCACTGCCTAATGAGGCACTCCTTAACCTCTGACGGAATCTCTCATCGCGTGGTGTGATGTCGGCAGGCGTTGTCGCATAAGCGACATGCTCGCGTAACGACGCGTATGTGTTCGCGACAGGCACGACGAGGTTCGTTCATATCCTCCTTCAAGATGGCAGGTTCCTGACGCTCGTCTGCCACATGACGTGGTGGAACGTGGGATCCGTTGCCTCAGCATCCTTAAAGGAGTACGCGTGACAGCTCAGGTTTATATAACAGGTCAGCTTAAAGGTACACGAGTTGGTTATGATCACATAAGGTTGGATACAAGTCCACGCTTAAAGCTACACAGCGATTGGTTGACGGCATAAGTTTGATAAGCAGTCACCGTAAAGGTAACACGAGATTGGTTGACGCATAAGGTTTGATAGCAGTCACTAGGTGCACGATTGGGTGATGCATAAGGTTTTGATAAGCAGCACTTAAAGGTACACGATGGTGACGCATAAAGGTTTTATACAATGATATGCAGATAACATGGGATCACACAGCAGATTATTGCCTAATTTACATAACTCAACAGTTCCAACAATGGGTCTGCTGTCATTCCAGGCTATACAGTCATCACAAGACTGAGTAATAATGGAGTAACTAGAGAGGAAGGGTCATATTCTTTGGAAATTGATGTATAGATCAATAAAGTTGACCGTTCACCTGCTCGAAACTACTCAGAGCATGGCAGGCAATGTTTACTAGTAAAATTTATGATTCACCTGGATAACAGGCAGAATCGAACGACATGCATCAGTGGATGCGATGCGCGAGTTCAGGAACATTAGCCGGTGGTTTTCTAGTGAGCCACGTCATCCAACTTCGACTTCCGCATCTGAACATGTCGGAGCTACATCCACCGCTGCGCCGCACGGCGCCGTGTCGGACGTTAGCACGGTGGTCAACGGTCACAACTTTCGTCTGCTTCAAGAACCATGGTTGAGCTGTGGCAGCAATAGACGGTGTGTAGTGTAGTGTAAGTGTAGCGTAGCGTAGGCGTATGTAGTGTAGTGTAAGTGTAGTGTAGTGATAGCGTAGCGTAGCGTAGCGTAGCGTAAGCGTAGTGTAGTGTAGCGTAGCGTAGCGTAGGCTAGTGTAGTTGTAGTGTATGTAGTGTAGTGTAGTGTAGTGTAAATGTAGTGTAGTGGTAGTGGCGTGCAATTGCAGTGTAGTGTATGTAGTGTAGTGTAGTGTAAGTGGTAGTGCATGCAATGCAGTGCAGTGCAGTGCAAATGCAGTGTAGTGGCAGCGTAGTGCACGCGTAGTGTAGTGCGTATTGCACGTAAGTGTAGTGTAGTGTAGTGTAATGTAGTGTGAGCGCGACTTCCCATGCCACTTAACTAAATCAACACTGGGTGTCCATTGTCAGAACAAACATAGGTCTTAACATTAAGTCTTGACACCCAGTTTTCTCGTACACAGCAGACCTCATATAACGCTACACATTGAAATTCATCAGCTTTGAAGCGGCAGTCACAGAAATGTAGGCTATCAATGTGAGATTAATATGGTGCTAGAAATACATGTCTGCAGTATGGATGGCATGCATCACACACATATACATGTAGAAGGAGTGCATTAAAGTTGGAATATATATATACGCGTGGCTAGAATGCACATAACATGAGAATGTTGTGTATATTGCGAAAATAAGATTTATGACCCTGCATCGGCTGAAATAGTATAGCTGAGGTTGGTATAATATGTAATGAAGCTATGAGATTGCTGGAATTGGGAATACTTACTCCCATGTAAGGTGCTACGCATTGAGGTGTGGAATCACTGTGATGCGTCGATCTTACATCTTCGTCAGCTTTCAGTGAGTGAAGAGCGACGTCTCTTACCTATGAGGTTAGACGGCCAACTATCGCGACGCTGGGGGGCCGGACGGCGCCGGGCCGGCGGCGCGGGCCGGGCCGGCGGGGAGCGGGGGGGCTCTTTCTAACCCAAAACCCTGGCGCGCACCAGTTGCTCGCCCCGACGGGATCAACCACGCGCAACGTGCACCCTGCCGACATCACAGCGCCACTAGTGAGGAAGAGGGGACGAGGAGCAAGCTGGACGCGAATAGCATATGAATCTTATGCTGTGACTGAGCTAGTGATTGTCATATATAACTATATATGACCTCACCAACTACTGTGTAGGATTGTAATGCATGATGTAATGATAAGTCGATTACTTATAGTTCTGGTAGTATATATGTTTAGAAGTACTTCATAAATCGATGTTTATAGATAGAGCAGGTCTAAGCACATTAATGCACTAGTTATGTTATTTATTGGGTTATACTCTGATGCGCTACTGTCCACTGTACCGCCAGTGCAGTGGACACTCGAAAGTACGAGAAAACATAACATACATGTGTAGATTCTGATTCCTGTGTATGTCTGCCAGCAACCTTACTTATTATGACATCTAACACAAATGAAGAGATGATACAAAATGAAACAAGCAGCAAAGGGCAAGGTGCTTTCGGCAAGAGTTTGTGTAAATACGGAATTATAATAAATGCAATAAATAAGAAATTGTTACTGTTTTACCTCTATTCGTTAGATATTCACGACTGTTTTATTTTTCGGTGTGACCATAGTATTTGTTGAGAACTACACAATTTTAGTTGCGACGCAATCTTGTTGATGTTATCCTCCGGGAATTGAGCTGGCCTAATATATAATACCGATATAATTATGCATTATAAGTTCTTCAGGGTGACACTCAGCTAGCATCCTCGCACTCTCTCTCGCCACATATGCCTTGCGCTCCTGAACATGGACACCTTATAACTATAAACGTGAAAAAATAACCTAAAATATTAACATCAATTACTTTTGATTATGCGCTCATTCAATACGTTAATGTATAATTTACAAAAATTATTTTCTGAGTGCGTCTATATGTAATGTTACAACTATATGCAATACCGAATATCAGTCAACAGAAAAAACCACTGCTAGCTAAGGGGCCCCCCTGTTGATTGGCAAAGCAAACAAACAAAAAATTGCCCTTGCCTCTCACGCGTCTTCACAGGGACTGAGGCCACAATTCTGTTACTTCTGGGCATGCTGCTGAGAACAGCCCGAAACCACATCTTCATAAAATCACGCATTGTACGATCTACACAAATATTCGTGCTAACATGACGCAGCCACGGATTCTCTGGCACCAATTTTTCTCTTTTCGTTAACGAGAGTTAGTGAATACATTTAATGTCAACGAAATACCTCAAAATGTTTCTGTTGCAAAATCGACCGAGAAGACTTGATTTGGCTTTGAGATTATCTGCAGCAGAACAAAAACATGATAGAAAGAAAGGAGATAATTCTTCTTGCTCCAGATTTGTGTGTTGCAAGTTTGGCTTGGATTGAATTTTATGTTCTGAACTCTTAATTGACAGAAGAAAAGAAATGGAAATGCTATTGTGAATAACTTTGGATATAGTTCGAACTTATAGACGGCCGATTTTGGCATCCATTCCACTCCGGTTTTTATTCAAATTCCGATTTCAACACCTATTCATTAAATACCTGTTCTCTGAATCAGGGGAAGGCAAAAAAAACAATTCTTTTCATGGTAAAAATTTCCTTTTTATTTACAATAGACGCGGCACACCCCTATATATGGCAGCCTACCCTCTCTCATATCTTATTCTTCAGAAAAATCAACTTTCAATAGGTTTTTAGTTCTTCATCAAGAGGAAAGCAAAAATTGTTATAAGGAACAAATGTTAATGTGATCTATAAGCGCTATTGTATTCTAAAACGATGTAAATCTTTTGGTAATTTAATATATTGCATGTTTATTCAGTGCAGGTATACATACACATCTACGCTGTTTTTCCGCGTAGATGCGTTTAATTTGATTTCATTCAATATGCGCGTCTTACTTTTCCAAAAAATAATTTAACTTTTAACTTTGATATGAGGAACTTGAAACAGTTTATAACGGATACAATCCATTGCATGGTACTGCTAACATAACAAATCAACCTAATTCCCAGTATTACCCCGTCCATCGCCTCGCCATGCAGCCGCACATACGGCGTCAGACAAGGACGCGGCAACCACGACGAGACCCGCATGCCCCTCTTGATCGGAGAGTAAAAAATTAAGAGAGAAGGGCCCTTAATGGGGATTTGGTCTAATACCAGCTATTACTAATACCTAATAATGAAAATGAATTGTCGCAAAAATGCGCATTTTATGCACATATTTTCCAAAAATTACCCAGCTACTGGGAGGGAAACACCTCCCCCGTTGAGAAATTGCTTCATCGGCTGTTCTTGGTCGTTAACTCTTTTCTCTGTCGCCTTGAAAAAATCATGCTTCGTACACCCATTTTCAGCTGGTCTAGCTAAGGGTCCACCAACTGGTCTGGTGTAACCAGAGCCTTCGCGGGCCCACCAGGGCCACGCCCACGTTGATGCGATCGAGTGGAAAAATAAAAAGCGGAGGGAGGGGTATAAGGGATTAGCATATCACAGCTCTCATATAGAGTTACCCTAACTACTGAGATTTTGAGTGTGCAGCAAAATCCAATTTCATGCACGAATTTTCAAAATCTCCCATAACGGGAGGGGGATACCCTCTCAGCACCTACCGCCTCGTCGCTTTCGCTCGCCTCGCCTGGCCCCTGTCCAATTGCATAGACAACAACAATCAGCAAGACATGAATGTTTGCCATGGAATCTAACAAGTCCGTTGATCTTCAGTCCTTGTAGTAATTACTGCTAACTTAGTGAGAGGGACGAGATTAGAGAGGAGACAAGAGAGCAGCAAGACAATCACCCCAGAGAGAGAGAGACGAGACCGAGCGACAGAACCACAACCACGAGACACGAGAGACCGACGCACGAGGAGATGAGAGAAGAGAGAGGTGGGGGAGGAGAGAGAGAGAGAGAAGAGAGCAAGAGAAGCAGAGAGAGAGCAGAGGAGAGAGAGAGAGAGCGAAGAGAGAGAAGATAGAGATCAGAGAGAGAGAGAGAAGAGAGAGAGGAGAGCGAGAGAGAGAGAGTGAGGGAGAGGAGAGAGAGAGAGAGCAAGAGAGCGAGAGAAGAGATAGAGATAGAGAGAGAGACGAGGGAGGCGAGAGACAGGAGGGTGGTAGGAGAAGAGAGAGAAGAGAGTTGAGCGAATAGAGAGGAGAGAGAGAGAGACGCAACCCGAGACGAGAGAGAGAGAGAGGGGACGGAGGAGAGCGAGGAGAGAGAGAGAGTGGTGGGACGGGAGAGAGAGAGCCCCGCAGACGACCGACGAGAGAGCAAGACAGCAAGAGAGATAAGAGAAGAACCCCGCACGAGAAGAGAGAAGAGACAACGACCGCAAGAGAGAGAGAAAGAGAGAAGGAGAGAGAAGAGAGAAGAGAGAGAGATGAGAGAGAAAGAGAGAAGAGAGAGAGAGAGAGAAGAGGAGAGAGAGAGAGAGAGAGAGAGCAGAACAACGACACAGACAACGCAAGAAGACCCAGAAGATCCCCGAGAGGAGAGAGAGAGAGAGAGATAGAGAAGAGGAGATGAGAGAAAGAGAGAGAGGTGCGAGAGAGAGAGCGAGACGAGAGACGAGAGCGAGAGAGAAAGAGAGAGAGAGAGAGCGAGAGAAGAGCGAGAGAGAGGAGAGGAGAGGAGAGAGAGAGAGAGAAGATGCGGGGCGCAGCCGGCCTAGGCGACACGGGATCATATCGTAAGCTAGCTACGCGAACGGTCGCTATGGCTGAGTCAGTGAGTGTGACCAGGCCGTCTGTAACCTTATAGCTAGTGACCACCGACTGATCCGCATCTCTGCACCCTCGCACCGTGATCTCTATCAACGTTCTATGAAGCTTGTGCAGCGGCGTTTAGCACTGACGACTGCGATTGGCGCGACTCGATCGAGCGGTCAGAGTCGACCACAAGTACGCGTGGGCGTTTGAATTAAGGGTTAGGGTATATATTATATATAGTATATACCCTAGACCTATATAAATTATATACTATACCCTACACGCCGAGCGCGTGTAGCGTGTGTGTGTGTGGTTAGGGTAGGGGTAGGGTAGGTTATAGTACCCTATACCATATATATTATATATACCCCGTACCCTAATATATATATATATATATGAGGGTTAGGGTATATATATGATATAGGGTTTTGTTTTTTACGAGTTATAATATATCTAACCCTCACCCCTAAACCCTACCCTAACCCTAACCCTAAACTCCTACCGGCTAACCCTAACCACGAGACACACCCGTACGCGCGTGCGTGCAGGTACACGCTGCGTGGCACGGTACACGCATGCGTGACATACAACGCGTGGTCGGTGCACGTACAACGCATGCGTGCGCATAGCACGCGTGCGTGGCATACACGCGTGCGGCGTACACGCATGCGCGCACGTACCGCGTGCGGCACATACATCGTGCGTAGCACATACACGCGTACGCCCGCCACATACACGTATCTGCCAACATACACAATGCACGCAATGCGGTCATGTGATCATGTGGCAAGCAGCTAGCACTGCACTTACCTATTGTAACGCAGCCGCAGTACAGCGCCGCGTGTATGTAACACAGGCGTGCGGCGTGCACATAAGGAGCATCGGCTGTCACGATCTTGGAAAACCCCCAAACCAATGCTCTCGTGGTAACACCGCATCCGATCTCTGGACTGTGCACGTAAGTCTTTGGCCTAGTGCGTGGCGGAACGTCGCTTTTTATGCACCAGAGAAGTCGTGTTAGCTTCCCTTGCCTGACCCGCAGAGCTTGGTTATACAATCATCTGTGAGGTCGTCTGTACGTGAGGGGCGGATTGCTATCGCGTCACGTAGTTGTATATGTTGTTGTTTTTGTTTTTGTTCTGCAGTTTCTTGTTGCGGCGGCAACGAGAGAAGAACAGGGAGAAGAGAAGATGTTGGGATGCGGATGAGGATAGTGGTGGAATTTAGAGACCGGGTGCGGAGCAATGATTATGGATGGATTTACGGTTGCATAACTCTTCCTCGAGTCGTGTTTTCCTCTGCTAAACAGTTTGTGTACGCGGTGGTGTAATGGTCCTTAATACAATGTGTACCGATGATACGTGTTATTACAATGTACTCACGTCATTTGGTTCATAAACAATGTTAGCCGTTCTTATATCCAGTGTTACCGACCACAATTCTTTACACATGGGCACCACATTGTTATACAATGTACGTTAACAATCAGACAGAATGTTTGCATGAATCTTTGCGTGATGTTAATCCGGTTGATCTGCAGTCCTTGTAGTATTACTGCTAACACTTAGGTGAGAGGAGAGAGATAGAGATGGAGCAAGAGAGAGAGGATAGAAGAGAGAGGAGAGAGAGAGAGAGAGAGAGAGAGAATAGAGAGAGAGGTGGGAGGGAGAGAGAGAGAGAGCGAAGAGAGAGAGAGATAGAGACAGAAGATAGAGAGAGAGAGAGAGAAAGAGAGAGAGAGAGAGAGAGAGGGAGAGGAGAGTGGGCAGGAGAGAGAGAGAGAGCAAGACGGATGAGATAGAAGATAGAGAAATAGAGAGAGAGGGGAGAGCAGAGAGAGAGAGGATTGAAGGAAGAGAGAGCAAGGGAAGGAGAGAGATTAGAAGATAGAGATAGAGAGAGAGAGAGAGAGAGAGAGAGAGAGAGAGAGAGAGAGAGGAGGGAGAGCGGAAGAGAGAGAGGTGGAAGAGAGAGAGAGAGAGGCAAGAGAGAGAGATAAGAGAGAGGAGAGAGAAGAGATCGTAGCTATAACTGTGACCGTAGCTATATAACTATAAGTACATGTATGAATACAACTATAGCGCTACCTTTGCATGCATTCGTATGAACTTCTGCGTAACGTGGGGCATGACGCGGTGAAGGTACTCGCCCGTCACATGCATCAGGGACTCGACGGCGACGATGCCGTCCAGTATCGTGTGTAAGGACTTGGGTATCGTGGCACCGGTGAATACTGCCTGAGCTCCCACTGCGTCATCAACCACAGGCACGGCCGCTCTGAACTGCAGCAGCAGAACAACACATAAACGACAGCGTCAGCACATAACAACACATAAACGACAGCGTCAGCACATAACAACACATAAACAACAGCGTCAGCACATAACAACACATAAACGACAGCGTCAGCACATAACAACACATAAACGACAGCGTCAGCACATAACAACACATAAACGACAGTGTCAGCACATAACAACACAACCAACGATTTCTACAAGCATTCCGCTATGGGAATGATGATTTGGATTTATTTGACCGGTCCTACCATTAGACTACGATTTGCACTTTGATATACAGGGTCGATATAATTTGTCTATTTTTGAATCCATAACTGTAGATATCCAATATAGATTTCGGTGTAGAGTTTTCCGACTTGCTATTGCATACGAGAGACTGCAGACATTAAGATATCTCCTATTCTTATAACTAAATTACTAACTACAGATATCCTAACTTAGAATAGGTAGACTGCAGTGCTGAGTTACCTTAATCTTACGTAAAATCGGACAGATAATATCATTGAAACTGTCGTCCAGTAACGAGTCGGCTTCATCTACGACGACGTAGTTAACGTGTTCCAACGTGAATATACCTGTGAAATACATTCAGTATGAACCCCTCGTGTATCAGCATAAACAATGTATTGAGCTGGTGTGGACACTAAAAAAAGCAGAAAGATGTGATACCGAAATGACAAAAAACTGTCTTAGCTAGCTGGAGTGACTGATAGGTAGGTCTAGCCAGTCATTGTTGCGAGGCATTCTAAACGCACTGATCAATAATGAAATGTTGCAAAGTAGACATTTTGGTGTTCACGTTTAAAAACGTACATAAACAGGGTTTCGTTTGGCCGACCTAGCAACAATATTGAAGGAGGAGAGCAGGGCGTGGTTATCTCTCGCTCGTGTCACGGACGGACGGGCGAGTCGCCATGGTAACGTTGCTAGCTGTCACCTACGTGCGCACAGCAGCTTCCACAGGACTCCCGGAGTAGCGACGAGAATGTCACAGTCACTGTGTCGACCCGCCGCCAGCAGCTTCTTCGTGCCGCGGCCTCCCACCACCATGTCCGCGCGCACGCCAAGCCGCCTGCACAAGCTCTTAATCACGGTCTGCGGCGAAAGATGAAGAGTAGTTAGTAGGGTGCAGCGAAAAAGGGGATGCGAAGAGAAACTATTCCACGAAACCTATCCAAGTACATTGAACATGTTGAAGCATGTCCGTGCTTCATCGCCAGGGATGCACTGTCAATTTCACAGACGTCCCCTAATCTCTTTGAGCGACGTTAACTAGTTTGCGTCACGAGGAGTCGGTGGGTACGGCACGACAGTAAGGTGTTCTCTTACGTAGACTTGTTCGGCCAGCTCTCTGCCCGGCACGAGAACGAGAGCCTGGGGTGAGTTAGTCGGAGGCCGGGTCGTCGACGCAGAGTTGGCGTCGAAGATCTGTTGAACCACCGGTGCCAGGTAAGCCACTGTCTTCCCACTACCTGTATGTATATAATAACCACACACAGGTAAACAAGGTGACCCCATCAGGTATGTTCTCACTGTCTTC